TGCCAAGGTTTACCTATCTGTGGAGATAGCAGCTGGGAATGGCTTGGGACTTGGGGTGGGGGCGGGAAACACATCAGGTCTTGGATTTTACTTTTCTAAAAATAATGCCAAAAAGGGGGTTTGCAAGTGTTGAAATTATATCTTGACACTTAACCCTTCCACCAGTGTCTGCTTTATATTTAATTTATAATCCCACTATATATTTTTAGACCCAAAACCTAAATGAAACCATTTGAAATTATTTAAAGTGCAGTGTTTCAATTGACCTGATCTAATTTGGGGTTTATAAATTCACCAGACTTCTCGAGATTAAAGTGTTCTGTCTTCACTTAAGTATGGAAACATTTTCAAGCCTCAAAAATTATCCCACAATGGGGAAAATGTCTCCTGCTTTGCTCTCCTTGCAGTCTGAGGAAATGAAGGACAGAGTCACAAGATCTAAAGCAACTCACTTACCGCACTTTACTAAGTTACAGTTCAACTACAGCAGTTGACCATGTGCCTGTTTTTAGCACAACAGTCACTTTTGATTCCCGCGGCTAATACCATCTCCTCTGCACAGTCACTCCAAAAAATGTGTTTCTTCTGCAGTGCTCGCAAAAAGTGAGTTCATGTCCCTGTGCGTGAGTTGCCAATGTAATTTATCCCAGCAACTTCCCTCCCCTCTCCTAGTAAAATAAGCTATACCTTGCTCATGTCCCCGTGTGTGAGCTCTCCTCGGTCTGCTGTTCAGAGCACAGGAGAGATTGTTTACATTCATTAGAGCTCCGGATTAATTGCCAATACAGAAGAAATAATGACTAATCTCTGTGTGGCTTTTCTTCTGCATTCATTTCTAGGTCATTGTGGGAGGGTCCTTGTGCTGCACTATATTGTGAGTTACTGCTGTCACTCAAAATTTGGTTTTGAGGGGTTATAATCTGCAGCATTAGGGAAGCATTATGAGCTGCAGCCCACAGACTGTCACAGCAACTCTGCTCCCCAAAGCTGTTTGCCAGCTTTCCATCTGGGATGTTAAGTTTTCAGGAAAGGATTCAAACACTTCCCACTTCCAGTCTTCAGTGGCTCTTGCACCCCAGAAGTCTTTCCCAGCAGTTTGGATTTTCACTACGTGGTTCATGTTTAAACTTAACATCTGCAGAGCAACTCCCTTTGGCTTTCTGTGGTTTCTGAAAGGCCAAGTATTGCTATAGGGAGGCCCTCAAACAACTACCACTACCACTTGCTATTAGATGCTTGTTTCTACTTTGCTGCTGATTGTGCTGTACACATTTAAACCTTACAGTTTTCACTTGCAAGTTGATGCTTGATGTCCTGGTCATTTCAGTTCTTTGCTTGTGTTTTAGTGTATCTTTGCTTGGGGTTATTTTTCTTACTGGTGTACTAGGGTGTGTTATTCTCCTCAGGTGAGATTCTTTTTCTTTGCCATGGATAAGCAGTTCTGCCCTCAAGAGGTGTGGACCCAGAGTCAGCCTTTAACACTGGGCCAACCTTCCATTTAGAAATGGATGGTTCCTTCCCCATCCTATTCAAAGCCAAAAAATCAGTTGGATTTGGAGACACAAGTGTCTCTTAAAAAAGAAGGGCACTCCCTGCCTCTTAGCCAAAAATATGGAAAAAGGATGGTAAACTTTCCCTTCAGCCCCCGCTGTGTTTGTGGTCCATATTCTTATGACATGAATTTGACCACAGCTCCTAGGTCTGATGTTTTGTAGCTGGTTCTTATCTTTCTTCTCTGTGCCTTGCTTTGGCCCTCTGTGTAGCTCATCAGATGCACTCAGCTCTACCTGTTGATTACAGAGAGTGCTGGCAATGGCAGCTTGGGAGAAAAGAAGAAAAATAGGGCTTTAGGGGGTTTTTTTCTTCATCTTTTTGGCTTTCTGAAGGTCTGAAAGCTCCAGGTGGTGCTAGGAGAGTTAGCTAAACTGTGAAAGAGCAAAATCAAGAAGCCAATCTTACAATCCTACAGGGATGCTATTCCCATAATGTGCAGACATACCTTTGTGCAGGTCGTTAGCTGCGGGGGCAGCACTTAGGCATGTGGGATAAACTGATTAGAGAATTAAAGAAAACCCTGTTAGCTCCACAGGCCAAATCATGCCTTACAGCAACCTGATGTCAAATGGGTGTGAATCAAGGAAACTTTTCCTTTGGCATCTTCTGGTAACACCTTGAAGAGAAGGGTCTGAGCCAGGGTTCTAGCAAGGAAAGAGGCTTAAGCAAATATACTCCCAGACAGGGAGTGAGCCGGAGTCTGAAACTAATGACTTTGTTTTTCCTCACTGGTACAGACTTGGAAGGATGAAAAGAATAAATTTCTCAGGTCTGATTTTCAGGTTTTATAGAAGGCTTAATCAGGAGTTGGTTAATTTAAAATGCTTGTCTTACTTAGCTGCAAGAATGTCAAAGAGTGTGACTGAGCTGAAATTTGGGAGCAGAAGACGTGTGTTTTCTGAAGACATAATCCAGAAGCGCAATTACCTGCTGTCCTGGTCACTGCAAAGCTCCCACCAAAGTCAGCGTTGACACAAGATGTCAGACAAGATGATTGTAATGATCCCTTGCAGTCTTAAACTCTGTCTGAAATGTGTGAGTAGGAATTGTATCAGATCTGCAGTGAGAGCATTCCCAAGCCACACCGTTTGGTGTTAAATCCCTTTGCAGTGTGGATTGCAGCTGCAGTTTTCTGCTCTGTTCACAGTTCCAGGTAGGCTGTGCTCAGTGTTGCTGTCTGGAGTGCTGTTTAGTAGGCTGTGGTAGCAGACAAGGGGAACTGCTTAGTAGATCAGCCCCCAGCATGTAGGTAAGCCATGAAACTCCCAGCCATGTCGTGGGTGCTCAGTGTTTATCAGAATTCAAAAAGTGATAAGGAATGTTCATAGGAGAAACATCCACTTGAGGCTAAGTATGGAGAAGCCAGGCTCTGGCTCAGGAAGTCCCTAAGCCAGAAATTGCTAGAGGCTGGAAGCATATCCTAATGAACTGCTGTGTTTTGCTTGCCCTATTGTCATACTTTGGCCTCTCTTGTTGGCAACTGTTGGAAATAAAGCAAGCAGTGACTTGGTGAGGCAAACGTTCCATACCTGCATATATTCAGAAGGTGTCATAGCAGATGCCTTACGAGTGGCACAATCTTCCATCAGTATCTGCAGGTATGCTGTGTTCCCTCCTTGGCAGTATAGAGAACAGCATGGATGCGGACTGAGATGATGTGATCTGCTTATGCAAAGCAAAATGCTAAATTTGCCAGGTTATTTCTCCAAGGAGAAAATTATTGACCTTGCTTTTTCTGGCATACCAGCTACTGTTATAATGATGATGATGGTGACAGCAACCAGACAGAAAGGCCAGCAATAATTCTTTCCTGCCCATTATTACAAGGCATAAAGCAAAATACAGTCTGAAACCAACGCTAGTTTGGCTGTGTTCTCTTTACAAATGTGTGAGGCAGTTCTCATATGGGTTGAAATTCAGGACTTTTCATATCGACCTTTCCAAAACCAATCCTTTTGATCTTCAGATATGAACCTGTGTATGTTTGTATCTTACCAGTGATTTGCAGCCCAGAGATAATGTCCAATAGCAAATATGTGAGTGTAAAAGTAACCTCTCTGAGCTCCTGGGTGATTCATCTCCTGACAATACATTTTGGCTGCACATGTAAGGGCTGGATCTTGCCCCTGAGAATACTGGCTCAAAGACGCAATAACAATGCGGTCAGTCAAAGCACTACTTTCCCTGGGAATTTTGTTGCATGAGGAAGCAGAAGAACTTTAGCCTTCCTGTGTTTGTCAACATGATCTGCCTTCCAGCAGCTTTTTATTTTTCTGTCCCATTAGATGTTTTCTTTTCCTTTCTTCCCCCTCCTTACTTCTGTCTATCTTAATCATAATCATTACTGTAATTATAAACTTTCTACCTCATCCAAGCTTCAAACACTGGTTGATAACAATTTTTGATAACTCCAGATGCATCAAGCAAGAGTAGTAGGTGAAGTTTGCTTTCCCAAAGTCCAGTGAAATGACCCAAATAATTGCCACAGATTTATTGTTTGCATCTATGTGGCTTGCACCCTCCATTCATGGAATGTGCCTTGAAGTTGCTTGGTTTTAAAGGCTAAGTTGCACAGTTGGTGTCAGAAGGGCTGGTGTGGCTCACAACCATCTGAAGCAAAATTATCTTGGTGTTTCTATAATTAACTGCAAGGGTGAGTGAGGGTTGAGATGAGATGAGATGAATCATTCAATGGACCCTACTTGAAAGGTTTTTTTGGCTCCAGTGCTTCAGGAGCAGGATAGTATGTAAAACCTGCGCAGCAAGGATCATGGCCTTAGAGCTGGCATTTCACAGTCATTATCTCAAACTTCGTGGGTCAATGATAAGTGAAGTTTAAGTCATGCTGACCTCCTGTCCTTGCAATGGTCATTGCAGACACTGCTTTGTTCTCTTCCCAGACTCAACAGTAGTCTCTGTGGTGGGAGACGAAGACCAAAATTTTCTTACAAGGCAGATAAAGACCCGTCATGGGAGCTCTGTTGGTAGAGCAGTTAGGGGGTCTCTGTGTAGCCCCAGGAGTTTGGCTTCAGCTTTGCACTGCACGCTGTGGAGGTTGTCTAATCAACTCAGCTGCAAAAGGTTGTTCAGACTGGGCAGTCCAGAGGCAAAGACCCAGGAGTGCAGGCTGCATAACTCCTTCACATCCTCTCATCTACAGAGGCTGCAATGTCTCGGATACACCCACCTGATGGGCCATCTCTGATCTTTCATCAGAGCTGCTGAGAGAAGGCTCTGGTTTGTGTTCTCGCACTATACTAAAGGCTCGACCCAGGCCCTGTGCTGTTGTTATACTCTTTGTTGATTGTATTGCACTTATAGATAAGAAATGAAAAGAAAATACCTAAAGCTTCCAAGTAGACCAGCAGCAGCCTCCAACCGAGCTGACCTTTGTAAATGTCCCACTGAGATGGTGCTCACATCTGTTGTGTATGTTTTGTTTACAGAACACACTGGAGCAATGCAGTGTCTGTGCAAAGCCCATCATGGAAAGGATCCTCCGAGCCACTGGGAAGGCCTACCACCCCCACTGCTTCACCTGCGTGATGTGCCATCGCAGCCTGGATGGGATCCCCTTCACCGTGGATGCCAGTGGGAACATCCACTGCATCGAGGATTTCCATAAGTATGCCCTAAACTGCTGTCAGTGGGTTTGCTTATTGTCCTTCTCTTTTGTCCCTAAAAATCCTCCTTTTTCAGTCTGAATGTCCAGAAAGATCTGAACCCTCTGCCACTTTCTCCCAAGGCCCTTAAATAGTCAGCAGAGCTTTACTCCAAGCAGGAACACCATGCATACAAGGTTAATTGGTTAGGGGCCGATGCTGCTTGATCTCTGTTTTGCTTAGATCTGAATTTATGGATAACCTCTATGTTCCTCCATTTTAAATGCTCTGCATTTCCCCTGCCTTCCCCTGCACTGAGCATGTGCATGTTTCTCCTCACTGCCTGTACTTGCACTTCCACATCAGCATCTCCCTCTTCTTCCACTGAGCAATTAAGAGAGGTCCTGTACTGTTGCCCTCTGCAGGTGTTTGCTTACTGGCTAGAGGGATCTAGGTGGCCACAGAAAGCTCACAGATCCTTTTGTTTCTAGTTGCTAATTAGCTTTTTAAAGCTGCTAAAAGACAGCTCTGGTAATAATTTATAGTGAAACTGCTATTTAAAGTAAGTTGAAAGGTATAGTTGCAAGTAGTTTCTGTCACTGCCACACTACCACCCCCATCATCACAACTAATCTAGGGAAGACAGGTAGATATAATCAGAGCAAAATGTTTCCCCTGTATGGAAAAGAGAGACACATTACACCCCTCAATTAAAAGAGGAAATCAATACTGACAAATGTGAGTTTACATCTCAACCATTTATCTCTTAATTTCTAAGGGGGTAGACTTAATTAGAGCCTTGTGACATCAGTGTGTGGGCCTGAAAGCTCAAAGAAGCAGGCTGACTTGACAGAAAGGGAAGCAGCCACAACCAACTGGCATGTTAAAATCCAACATGAGGATGTTCCCTGTAGCTCAAATAGGCTGGGTTAATTGGCAGCTGCTGTGTTGCCTTGCTTGTCTGTGCCAACAGTTGTGTGTAAGGTAAAATTTGGTTCTGAGCACAGGCCCAGCAGAAAGCTTACGCCCCACTCAAGCTTCTGAAAGGTTTCCCTCACACCCAGTTATGATTTGGAGATTGCTCCTTCCCCAAGCCCCACAGACCAAGGGCTCACATGCCTTCAGGAGAAGGGTTGGGAGCAAGAGCTGACATCCCATGTTAAAGTATTTTGGCAGTGACTGGATGTGGACCTCAGGGATCTGAGAGCAGGAAGTGGGAGGATGTAAATCCAAGGAAAGGACACAAAATTGTTGAGTGAAAGATTGAAGGGAAGATGGCAGGAATAGCACGAAACCTAACATGACGCTCAGAATGTCTTTGGCCAACCACGCATTCAGCAGCACTTCGGCCAGCCCAGTTTTAATTGATTAGGCATGACATGTCCTCCTGGTCTGGAGGCCAAGTGTTCTACATCTTGTACGTCCTCTTGATAACAAAGCTGTAGCTGATGCTCACACTGTCACTTAGCTACCCCCTGAGCTTAGGCCAAGCAGTAGCACATCCACATCCCCTGAAATCTGCAGGAGTCATCTCTGGGTCCTGGGAGTTAATATGTGGCTCATAATGAATTACCCACAGTGGCCTGGACAAAGAAATGTTGAAGTATTTTTAAGCACCACATTTGAGCTAAATGGCACAAGGAAGCGCCTGCATGAAGCAGCATATAATTAACTGCGACTACAGCTCTGGTCATATCTTGATCCATTTAAGTTATTTTTCAGAGCGCTCGCTATAGCCACTGTTTAATTCATTTTTTCGTTAGATCGCAGCTACACAGACATCTTTCATCTGCTGCCAGTGAAATTAATATTTTTCTTTATTCCTAGTACAGATAGATTTTTCTTTTTTTTTTTTTTTTTCCTAAGCTAGTTAATTCTGAGGTGGTTCATGTGACAGACTGGGTGGCAGAGTCAATCTTTCCTAGGCATTTCAGAAGAGGGAGGCCTTTGATCTCCTTATGTTCTGATGTTTGCCATAAGCATTGCCCTCTGTCACTTCATAGCCCATGACCCCAGCTCTCATTACATGGCAGCAGATTCTGTAGGTATAAGCTTCTTTTTTTGTAAGCAGAGTTTTCAGCTAAGTAATTTGTACCCATAAGTTTTGAACCCAAACCAGCAACTAATGATTCACCACAGGCTAAATGTTCTCAAGCCTCCCCACCTGCCCAGGAGCAGAGATGGCCACTTCTCGTGGGCAACTGAGGGGAGCAAAACCAGAGCTAATACAAAGCATAGGTGAATTAGCCAGAAGGGCGTATGGTGGGCAATATAAGGGCATAAGGAAAGGTCTGTGCTCCTCTTAACTGCTGAGCTGACCCTGATTCAAGCCAGTCCCTTCACGCAGAGTGATTGTCACTATACAACTCTGGCTGAGGCTGACTGTGGAAGAGAGTGTGTTGGTTGGTGTCTCTGCACCCAGACCTGCTCCCTTTTAAGCCTGGGCAACCCACTAATGGATAACTGAGAGTTGGTTTCAGCAGGAAAATGCAGCTATTCAGAATTGCACTGATGCTTCTTGTTTGAGAGTGAGCACAGTCAGGAGCATGCGTCTGTGTGCATAAGTGTGTAAGATGGCTCAGAAGTTTAAAAAGGGTGGGATAAACCTCAACAAATTAGTGCAGTATAAGGCAAATCTTTTTACCATCTCTATTGAGGCTCTTTACCTATTTATTCCTATCTCCAAATTTTAATATTGTGTTATTTTTTTTTCAATAAATGTTCTTGAAGCAGATCCTGGTCATCTTTCTAATCTTAGGATTTGCATGGGCTTTCTTATCATTAGACTGGGGGTTGAGCCTGAGGGTTGAAGCACTGCATAGGCGTCATGATTGTGGGTCATTCAACAGGCACTTTAGTTGTTAATTAGGGCAAGCAGAATATGCTTTGCTGCCTATCGGGTATTCTTACGTCCTCTCCTAATAGTGGGCAAAATGTTCTTTAATATCCTGCAAGCCTGAAATTGCATTGTAAGACTAAAGTGCTCCTTGTGTCATCTTTCCAAGGAGGCAGCTGTGCAAAGCTACAAACTGTGACATATGTGTACCTACCTGTGTGTTTGTACAAGTGCACACATTTCTGGCTTGCTGGTACATTTAAAAAAAACTTTCACGCTAAGTTTGAGAATGACTGGTATCGTTTCTTCTTTCTTCAGGAAATTTGCACCGAGATGTTCGGTGTGTAAGGAGCCCATCATGCCGGCCCCAGGACAAGAGGAGACTGTACGCATTGTCGCCTTGGATCGTGACTTCCATGTCCAGTGCTACCGATGCGAGGTTAGTATTCTAATGACATGAAGGACGGAAGCAAAGATTGGCTTAATTTCATCAACACCTCCTGTTACACACAACAGGCATAACCTATTGTAACACTGACTCTACAGTCAAATCACTTCGTTGACTGCATCATGCAAGAAATTTTTTCTCATTTATATCAGCACAAATTAGAAGAAAATCGGGTCTCTTGTTTATAACAGGTTCATTAGGAGAGCAAGAGAATGTGACTCAGGTAATTAGGGCTTAATATTTGAGAACTTCATAAATTATAGCTTGGACACAAACGTTCCTCATGTTTATGTTCTTAAAATGAAAGCTAATGCATGTTAGAATTTGAGCAAGATTGTACAGGAAACTCAACATATGGCTCTGGGTTGAAGAATTTTAATGGACACATAAACGTGATCATTCTTGTTTTGTGCAATGCTTTTTGTGCTATTTTCCTGTTCAGTTTCATTACGCACTTCATATAATTTTGATGGTAAGAATCTGAAGACAGAGAATAAAAATCACCTTAAAGCAATTAACATGTGGGAACAGCTGTGTTAGGGAACCTTCAAGAATTCTTCAATGCAAGTGTTACTTGTTGGATAATACATCAGCCAGATGGCGGGGTAAGAAAATGAGACCAAATGTATTTCTTATTGCAGTTGCAGATTTTAATAACATTAACCGGAAAGAGGGATGGACTAAGGCTTAAAGGTCTAGGCTGAAACTTGTGGCATCTGGTTCACTTCTCAATCTGACCTTGGCTTCCAGGGTTCATATCAGCCCATTACCTAGGCCCAGTTTTTTAAAGACACTGGGGCATTCCTACACTAAATTTTGTGGAGCCTAATTCATCCTACAGTGTGCCCCTGAGCTGGCCACTGAGTTGCCTAGGCTTCACACACATGAACGTCAGAAGTAGGGGCAGTGGCGAGCACAGGACACAGACACTCACTTGGCCTTGATTTCCATGTGCCTCAGTTATCTCAAAAGGAACAACAATGATATTCCTCTTTCCTCCACTTGCTTGACAGATATATTTACAAACACAGATTTATGAGGAAGAGGCATGGCCTCTAAGCAAGCTGTAATCCCCTCACCACAGCTCCATCAGCAGTCTTGGGCCAAGTGATTGCCTGACCACACAGTGAGGGATAATTCCAACTTTTCTAGCAGCTACACTTAGCCTTATATATTTAGAGGCTGAGGTCTCTAAAGCAGGTTTTGGGCCTTTTAGTGGGGTTTCCATGTGCCTGTCTCAGTGACATCCCCCTTTCAGTCACAACCTTTTGGGCCAATTGCAGTACAAACCCAGGTGGCGATTCTGGTAAGTGTAGACAGGCAGGAAGTTTGCTTAGCTGTCACCCCTGGAATGGTTGCTATAACTTTGTGGCATTAACTCTTCCAGAGGAGATTACCTGTAGTGAGGTATTGGTACCAGACTTCCTTCCCAGTGATGCTACTTTTTCATCCTTTTTTGCATTAATGAATATATGCTTAAGTTTGATGTTTTCTCCAATGCTAAAGACCTTTCCTTCCTCAGAAATGTGAAGGGAATAATCTCCTTTTATTTTCAATTGGATTAAATTCAGCAGAGAGCTTGGAAACGCATCTTCTCTGCAGCATTGTCTCTTATCAGGAAATGGCTTAATCATGAAAGACATCACGTACCTCAGCTTTGTGCTTTATGCTGACTCAGGCTGGATCCTGTTACAAGGTGGAGAGTGAGGAGAGTTTCTTTGACTAATAGATTCTTTGCTTAATCTTGTTCTTTCTTATTTACTTTGCTCTTTGTTTGCTTATTTCCTAGGACTGTGGTGGTCTCCTGTCTGAAGGGGACAATCAGGGCTGTTACCCTCTGGATGGGCACATCCTTTGCAAGACCTGCAACTCTGCTCGGATCCAGGCTCTGACTGCCAAGGCCAGCACTGATCTCTAAGTATCGACTGTGACCCTCCCCAGGATGCCTGTTGGGGGATATTGCACAAGCTTTGCATGATTTCTTTCCAGCCTAGGGTCTGAATCTCTGCTTTTGGTTTGTTTTTGGTTTTTTTTTTTTTTGCTTGTTTGTTTGGGGTTTTTTGTTTGGTTGTTTTTTTGTTTGTTTTTTGTTTTTGTTTGTTTTTTTTTAATTAAAACTGGAAGGCCTTGGAACAAGAGGGTAGTTCAAGAGGCCATGTTCAGAGTGCTCATGACAGGCACCTAATTTAGACATGACTTTCAGGAGGGCAGCGAGTGAGTCAGACCACTGGCTCTCTGCAGCTGATGGCGATAAGTGGTCACAGCACCTAAGTTATCTGCCTGTAGAAGGAGGTCTGAACATGGTCTTAACTATATTTCTGTTTGATTTCTGTCTCTTAAGAAGTACATTAAGGTAGATGGTGAAAGATGGCTGAGAGTTCTTTATCCCAAGTTATTTTGAGAACCTGACCAGCTCTAATTGAAGTCATGGGGAGCTTCCCTTTGACTTCAGTAGGATCTGGATCACCAACAGAACTAGCTCCGCTGCCCTAGAAGGTGTGAGAGCAGACCCAGCACTCCTCTCATCACAACTCAATGCAGCTTCAGCTGTACTGCACCTAAGAGTATAGTGTAGGTGTGACCTTGTATCCCTGGGACACAGATTTGTTACCTATGTCTTTTTTCTTAGGCCCTTACTTGTCTCCATTCCCTTCCAGTTCAATAGGGTTTTTTGTTTTTCTTACAAAATTATATTTTGCTATTGCATAAATTTATTCAGTAGCGATGCTTCCAATTCACAATGTATGAGCAATCACAGAAAGATGTGAGCTTGCACACACTGTACACTACACACACTACACACACACACACAATGTGCTTTTGATTTACCAGAGGTATAAGCCAATCATGTCCATCGAGGTCTTTTAAGGATGTGGAGCTGGAAACACATTTTTAAAATCCCAGTGGTTAAAAAAAAAAAAAAAAGACTACATAGAACTGCAGTGCAAAGCGATGCTCAAAAAAATCTTATGCCACTTTCTCGCACACCCAACTCTAATGGGACCACTGGCAGAGCTGGTTTCTGGGTAGACATTTAAGCAATAGAGTCTTGTTACATCTTCTGTTTATTTCAATAGGAAGATTTTCCTTCAACTGTAACAGGGATTGAATCAAGCCTTGGGATATACATTTCTCAGATGTTAACACATGATCTGCAGTTCTCATTAAAAAAATTAAGGATCTTATTTCAACAACAGCAAAAAGGATCCTCCTAAATACATGCTGCTGTTCAGTTTTTAAGAAAGCTAAAGAAGGTATTAAACCCTTCTCTGCCATTCCAAAAAATAAGCATTTTCTTCTCTTTCATTTTCATCCCAGCCTCTTATAACTTCTCTTTGGTGAAATGTCATTGCAAAAGGGTGCTGGGCCAGCAGCAGCATTTTCATCTTCAATCCAGAATTAATACATATGCCAAGGTAAATAAAAGCTGGGCACAAATAATCTTTTTTTCTCATGTTGGTGTTTGGTTTTTTTTTTTTTTAAGTTTGGTTAATTAAAAAAAAAAAAAAATTAAAAATTAGAAACCCACAGCACTCTGAGCAGCTATAATATTCTTGTTCATGAAACCCATAATAACTAAGTTGCAAATTACATAGTGAGGGAATAATTTTCATATCATTGAATTGACATTAATATCTTATTTGCAGATGTAATCAAAGAAAATACCTTTCTTTGCACTTAACAAATTAAGAAGCAGAACTGAAACAGTTGCAGGCTGATTGACCATATATGTGACAAACTGGCACTTTTCAAGAGTAAGTTACAAGAATTTTTTTCATGCACCTACTAAAAAACAATAAGAATGTGGTGCTTTCATCTTCATTTTCTATAACAGAAGCCTGATATAATTATACTCACTAATGCTGAAAAGAAAAGTTAGATGAGCTAGACCGATAGGAAATAAAGAGGAAAAATTGAAATACTCACTGCAGCTCCTGCAAATGGTGCATTTCCTTTCAGTTTAGCACTAACCTTTATGGAAGAGCACTGTGAAATTTAATAGCTTTAGCTGTATACAGTAAATTCAAATACAGAAATACCAGTCTGAAACCTCTGTTCCTTACATGGTTTATATGTTGGCAAACTCCACCAGTGTCAGGGAAGTTTCCCAAAATTCACAGCTCAGAATGAATCCCTCTTTGTAGAAGGGTGGCATCATTAAGCAAAAGAAATCATTCTCTACCATAGTGGCTGTGCTGAAGCAGTTTGCCTTTTTATACTAGATTTCTTCTCTGGCCTTCAAGAATTTTACTGCCTCAGACATAAACAGATTTTTTTGCACCATGACTCCTGCCAGGTTCCATCTGGGCTCCTGCTCCCTGAACCATGGCATATAAGGTACTTCTGAGCTTGCTTCTTTAAATGCAGTCTGCACCACCACTAGTCAAAAAAACTCACAATTACTGAGCAAATCCATTTTGAATTAACCCTACAAAAACACGGTAGGTCAGAGCTGTAATTGCTAATACCATTGTATCCCTGTGGAGGACTTTACATCTCTGCAAGCACAAGGGAGGACATGATGCACTTGGGTGCAGAATAAGCCATTCATTAGGCAGCAAATGTAGCTCTGATCTTCCTTATTCTTGTTTGTGTTAAATCCGGTGGCTGACCAGACTCGCCTGAATAACACTGGAGTAATGGATGGAAATGAGCTATTGTGCCTTCCTGCAGAATGTGGCCTAGACTAAAGTCCAGAGCCTCTGGGCTTTTGATGGCCCTGTGATAGGCTAGACGTCGAGCAAGTCATATGGCTTCTTATCTTCTGCCCTGTGCACCAGAGGGCCTCTTTCCAACTTCCCAGGGACATTATGGGGATTAAGCTAATCACAGACTGGCCCAAACTACTGATTTTTGGAGTTCTGTCTTCTCTTTCCAGAAAAGTTTGCTGGTATGTAGGTTTGGGATTCCAGCCCATTTCAAAGCTAAGGGGCAGCCAGGAGATCTAGATCTAAATCCTCTGTTATTAGGGTTCTGTGGTGAGTTGGGCTGGCATGAAGAGAGGCGAGAGCCAAAATTTTAAGTATTAAATACTCCATGGATGGAAGATGTTTGACAAAGACTGAGCAGTGTTGATATTTGAGGTACTGTGGCTAATTTCTAGATCTGACACATCTGGGCAAAGGTACTATCATGCTTTTGTTTTCACCCCTGAAACACCACAGCCATCTGCCTGTTGGAAGGAGTGAGCATCCAAAGCACTTTTCTTTTTCTGTAATGAGTGTGGTTTTGGCTTCTAAAATGGCTATAAATACATTCAGAAGATACTTCAAAAATGTATATACATCACAGAGGCTCCCATCACCCGCACGTGTATGAAAATCTCCCCTCTGATGCTTCAGGATTTAATTAGGAAATGTTGGTGGACTTATCTCAATTGCACTGCAATTAAGAACCACTGGGATATTGCTTCATCACAATATTTATCACATATTTATAATATATCCTATTTTATCTGTTCCAAAGAAGGAGTCTTTTTGCCAAAGAGACCTTGCTTTTCTTAACGTGGACTTCTTAGCCATGATAAAAATTCACGTTGTCTGTGGTAACATCCAATCTGTTCCTTTCATAAAGAATTGGAAGATCACACAGACATTTCTGTTCAAGTCTGAAGTTTTTGCTTATGCTGCTTTGGCTTTGTCTAGCATTTGTTGGCAAGTAGGCCCCGATCCCATGATTTGTGTGGCCAGACAGGGCCCGGGAGGGTCCAGGATCAGTTTCTAATTTAGCAAAATATTTGAGCCCCTGGGGTTTGTTTAAGCACAGGCTTAAAGCCATTGCATGGTGTGACATAAGCCATGGGTCTACAGTCATTAATACCAGACTGATTCTGTATCACCCAGTCATACAGGTTTGATCTGGGTGGTTTGTGGGCACAGTCAAATTACCCAGAACACATGAAATGGCTCCTGTGTCGCCCTTATGCCAGCTGCAGGAGGGCAGCCAGTGGCTGATCCAACATAACATTTGGACTACAGGAGGATGAGTTATTGCAAGATCAGTGCTTTGTGTCAGGTGGCTGTGGCACTTTCCGTATGTCACAAGTAGCCCTACAGCCAGATTTACTGTATCTTTGAACCATGGCTTTAAAACTGTCTACTTAAACTTTCTCCAGAAGATTGGGTTGCCTTGGTTACAGCCCAATCCTTAAGCATATCCCCAAGGCTAACACTAGTATTTTGTGGATGTGATGGTTTTATTGTCACTTAGTTTAATCATTGCCTGAACGTTGCTTTTAAAAACAGAAAGGAACAGCATTGCCTTAGCCTATCAGATAATGCACCTTTAATTTTGTTTTTGTTTTTTTAATATTTTAACTATTAGATTTTTATCACGGCTGCAAAATGCTTGGGTAATGACTTAATCATAGAGGTGTGGGATACCAAAGTGTTTATCATAGTGAACTCTACATAATAGTGTTCATCCTGATGGCAGGAGCAAGACTTTCATGAGACACAGGCCTTAAGTTGACTTTCTGCCTATCAGCAAAATGTGCCTGAGAAGAATGAGAAAAAAGTGTCTTTTAGAGAAATGGTGATTGTTGAAAAGAATATGCAACAAGTCATACTGAAATCCCTTTGGACCTGTTACAGCTGCTCTCTGGCCATGGCCAGCAGAGCCTAGCTTAGGTCTGGTGAATGCTGGTCCCTTTTGATTCAGCATCAGAGATAAATGTTAGACACCTGGTGCTTCAGATGAATGGCTCAGAAAGGATTTGAGTTTATAACTGTTTTCTATTGATACCAGGTTCCTGCAGTTGGTTCATCACATTGATTTGCTATTTGTTCACCAAGTTGGGCTGACTACACCTTATACAGACTTCAGTACTGTAAGTCAGGGCTATCGGACAGAGATGTGCTGAAGATTCTCACTGTGGTGAAATTCCCACGAGAAAACAATAGTGATGGTAATTGAGTGTTTGTTGCCAAAGGATAGCAGGAACTACTTAGTACTATCTAGGGGTTAGGAAAGTACAAACTAAGAGAGAGCTGTGAGAACACTATTTCCAGTTAGAGATGGTCACAATTTTTACACTACATTATGTGATGTCAGAAGGGCCATTTTTTTAATGAGAAATTCTCTTTTTGCAGTGTTATCCACAAAAGGTTTGGAGGTTTTTTTTTTTTTTGCTATTAGAATGAAAACCATATTGAGTTTTTATTTAAAGAAGTTTCTAAATTGTTAACAAATATTTTCATTTCTCAAAACCCCATGTTGTTTTTCTTAGTTTTTTGTAGTTCTTGGGTTTCTTCTGCTGATAAATTAAAGTTTCTGTGATAGTTTTGAAGACTTCTTTGGATAAAAATTCTATTTAAAAGCAAGCACATGTGTTCTTGGGAAATGGTTCAATATCGGACCTGGTGATATAAAAAAAGCTTTGAAACTTTTCACAAGATGTTTTTTCCCTATTTTTATCTAGTTTTGCTAATTTTGAAGTCACTGTTTCCTTTGTTAGAACAACCCAAATAATGTGACTCTTCTTAAAATAACCATGTTACTTCTGTTGGGTTCATGGGTTCATTTTTCTTTCCCATCTTAAAGCCATGGAGTGGCTGGCTATGGGGAGTGCCAGGGTCTTTTTCTGTGGCAATTGCAATTTTCTTCTTTTTTCCTTTTTTTTTTTTTTTTTTTTCTCCCTGAAATTACTGAAGAATATAAATACATGATGGCAACTGCCATAAAGATCAAGAGATACTGATTGAACTTCATCTCCACATGCCCTTCTGGGCTTGGGAATGGCATTTCTCCTTAAACATTTCTAGAAATACTACCTGGCTTCCTCAGCATTTCAAGTTTGAATTTGCAACAGTCAATTGCCTGATTGGCATTTGAAGCATGAGAGAGAGTAGACTTTAAACTTGTGAGATTATAACATTCACCCAGCATCTAAAAATCTGACAGAAAAACCATAACCTTGGTAGGTTTCCTGGTGAATGTTGAGGAACAGCTCTCATTTCAGCCTGGAAATTCTCTGTTGGGATCTGAAAAACCTGCACTCAAACACTTGCAGACCACTCTGGTATACACACTCGCACGCACACGTAAGGTGGTTGTGGGGATACAACTAAGTAGAAATACAGGCTGCAATCTACTTATACCCCACTGGGCTTTATTCCTAGTGACGTCTTCCTGGTCTCTTTGGCTTCATATTATATGTGGAAGCAATAGGAGTGATCAGTGGTGTCAAGAGCATTCAGTTCAAACCTTTTTTTTTTTTTTAATTTTGCTGTTTGTCCACTTATTATACCCAGATCTTGTAGAAAATGAGGAAGGAGACAGAAGCCCCAGGTGGTGACATTACCTTTAGATTTCCAGGGGTTAGAGCCCCTCGCTGGGAACATGACACTTGAGGTATCTCTACTTTTTTGCCTCTGCCTCCCTCTGTCCGCGAGCAGCTCTCTTACCTGCTTTTTCCATTGGCTCAACGTGCCCTCATCTTTG